TGTGATGGATAAAATTGAAAAAAAAAAAAAAAACTTTTTAAAATCATAAACTGTACTATACCAGCAATATTGTCAGTCAATTCATATTTTACACTGGTTTGCGACCATTATTTTACTTAAATCAATAAATGGTAAGTCAGCAGCATTTCCTTTTTTTGGCTGACATGCTTGAGTGCTTTCTCAGCATATTTTAATCACAACGTCAGCATGTCTCGAGGACAAAAATGGGATTTCAAGCATCAAAAAATAATACTAAGCAAAACTAAACGAACATGATGAATTATACCATGATTTTCTGAAGATAAATACAAAATACAGTCAGTAAAATGCCATTCAGAGTAAAAATAGTTTAGAAAAAGAGTAGTTTAGAAAAAAATTATAAATTATTAAAAGGCTATTTAAAGATCACAGTGGAGCTCTAAAATACTCAATAACTGCCATTTATGATTTTAAATATTTATACTTTATCCTTTAAACCACTAGAATCTTGCCCAGTGGTTAGAATGTTTTTAAATGATTTAAATCGCAGTACAAAAATTGTGTGATTATTCTTTAATATAGTTTAATCAGCACAAGACTGAATAAGTATGGGGTGGCACGGTGGCTCAGTGGTTAGCACTGTTGTCTCACAGCAAAATGGTCGCTGGTTTGAGTCACAGCTGGGCCAGTTGGCATTGATGTGTGGAGTTTGCATGCTCTCTCCATGTTTGCGTGGGTTTCCTCCGGGTGCTCCAGTTTACCCCAGATTTTCTCTATTAGTGATCGCGAATACATGAATCTTTTTAACCGCATCTTCTAAGTGAAATAGTTGAACTAGTTCACCAAATCGAACTGAACCTTTTGAAACGGTTCGCATCTCCAGTAAGCACTCTTATCCACAAACTACTTTTTAACATGCCTAATATCTCCTCTGACTCTAAATATACCAATATATATTGTTATAGAGTTATTAGAACAGTACACTGAGATCAGATTTGAGATTTAAGGTTCGCGTCAAAGATCTGAACTTTTCATCACTACTGTGTGTTTAACCTCAGAAGCAGGCTTGCACACATATTTTACTTAAGGGTGTTATCTTGTGGGCCGCTGTATTTGAATTAGAGGATGGGTAGATGGTAGTGGTAGATGATAGTGGTTGTGTCCTCTAAATACGTTTCAAAAAATGTAGGGTTGAGTTTATATTAATATACATTATTTATAATATGCTTATTTAGAAAAAAAACTAAAACTATTACTGAAAGTAATAAAAACTAAACTAAAACTAAGCCATTTCAAAATATTGAAACGAATAAAAACATGGAAATCTGCCTCTAAAAGCTAATTCAACCTAATTAAATTTGAAAACAAAAAGTAAAAACTAAACTCGTTCATTCATTCATTCATTTTCTTTTCGGCTTATTCCCTTTATTAATCTGGGGTCGCCATCGCAGAATGAACCGCCAACTTATCCAGCACAATTTTTACGCAGCGGATGCCCTTCCAGCTGCAACCCATCTCTGGGAAACATCTACACACACTCATTCACACTCATACACTACTGCCAATTTAGTTTACCCAATTCACCTGTGCCACATGTCTTTGGACTGTGGGGGAAACCGGAGCACCCGGAGGAAACCCACGCGTACGCGGGGAGAACATACAAACTCCACACAGAAATGCCAACTGACCCAGCCAAGGCTCAAACCAGCAACTTTCTTGCTGTGAGGCGACACCACTATCTACTGTGCCACCGCATCGCCCCAAAACGAAACTAAAACTAATAAAAAATCCAAAACTATTATACCTTGCTGTGGCGACCTCTAAAATGGAGAATAAACCTGAGGAAAATTAATGAATGAACTAAGGTTTGCTTGTTTTGACACATTTTTTAAAATATGTGGCTAAGAAATAACTCATTAGAATGAGTTTCTTTTCTGCTGGGCCATTAAAGAAATCCTAAGCATTTAACCCTATATGTCTAAAATTTCATTCTTCATGGTCTTAAAAAGTCTCAATTTTGACTTGGTGACATCTGCTGAAACACTGGTAATACATCGTTAAAATGAAAAATGCTTTATTGCCGACTATACCTAAAATTATTTTTCCATAATTTATATTAGCACTATAATATATTAGCACTCATTTTAATTACCATTTTAAAAATTGTTTTAGTTCAAGTGAACTATATTACCTCATGTCTGTTCTCAGAATGAGCTGGCCAGCATGAAGACTCTGTTGAGTGTCCTGCAATGTGGCCAAAGCAGAAGTGAGCCTGTACAAAACGGCCAAAGTGGCGGCCTAATAGTGGACGAAAACCTTTCCAGCAGGCACAATGGCAGACAAAACCCAGACACGCCATTACTGGAGACCATACAGTCTTCGTCTCCGACCTGGTGTCAATGTGGCTCCTGCCGGCCTGCCGAGACCTTACAGGAGCAACTGTGCTGCCGTTTGAAGAAAGGCCGCTGTATTACCTCTTCTCCGATCTTTTCATCACTAATTGTCAGTCGCTCTGTCCTGGAGAACGCTTTGTTCTTTGTGGACCCCCTGGCGGAGCTGCACGAGGAGTCTCAGCTGCGTCATGGGGCCTATGCTCAGTTCATCAGATGGCGGTTTGGAGACAGCACACCCAGAGATGCTCTTCCAGTAATACCCAGCTGCTGTATATGGAGGATCAGAGCAGAATACCCCAGCCCTGACGGCACATATCGTGGCCTTAGATCGTTTCAGGTCATAACGTCTCAGACAGAGGTCAACAGATGACAGACTTTAATCATTTAATGATGAGACATCAGTCAGAAATCAATCAGGATGACAATGCCTTATGATTGTGCTTAAAAGGGAATGATACTAACTACAGTCTGTGATACGCAATGTGATAGGATACTTTTAAAGCCTTAACCTGCAGAAATACCAAATGATGTATTATGCATTGTTTTAGTAAAACAGATGCCTTTAAAAATGAATCAAGAGGTCAAGCATGCACAGCCAAACTGATTTGCTAATTATTGTGTTATAAGACACCGAATACCTTTACATGGACACCAATAATCCGATTTTAATACGATTAAGACAATGCTCTGATTAAGAGTCAGCCATGTAAACAGCGATTTTTGATTAGCTTAATTCAGCTCAAGTCATAATCAAGCTAAACAGAAATTGGATTTAGACACATGGAGTATGCAGATTTTAGTCACATTGTTGAAGCTTAGTGCAGAAATGTAAACACTTTAATCCAACTATTACCGTCATGTAGGAATTTTCACCGCATTTTGTGACAGGATACACTATTCTCTGCACCTACAGAGTAAAGGACCATAGACACATACACTGTGAAATGCTGAGTTTTTTTTTCTTCCAGTTTGTGTGTGGTATCAAATTCCATTAAACTACTAAAATGTCCCTGAATGAAAGTTAAAATGCCAAACTGCAGTTAAGGTCGACAAATTAAAAATTAACACCCAAAATTACATGAAACTCCGGAGGACACGTGGATAGTGTGATGACGAAATGACGTTAATCGAATTATGTGCTTTAACATGTAAAACAGGATCATGAAAGGAACATTCAAAAAGCAACTCATTTAAACACCTTAACCATATTATTGTCCTATTCAGATTAAGACAAATAATTACTTTGATTACTGATGTCCATGTAAACAGTGACTGGTGCACTCATAAACTGAAATAATATGCTATATGTTAATCAAGATGCATTAAATTAAAAACATTTTGTTCTGCTTAACATTTGACAAAAGTATTAAGTGGCGAAACTGGCTGATAATACCCAGCTGATAATGTTACAAAAGAGTTTTGTTTTAAATAAATGCTGTTCTTCTGAATTCATTAAAGAATTCTGGAAAACAAATGTCTCCTGGAATCCATCTCTTTTAACATTGATATTAATAACAGTTTGTTTATGTGAATCAAATCAGAATATTAGAATTATTTTTAAAGGATCATGCGGTAACACTTTACAATATGAGACATATTTAATGTTAATTTGTGTACTTCATAAATCGAACGAACAACGAGCAATACATTTATTAAAGATTGTCTTCATGTTTGTTAATGTTAATGAAAATACAGTTGTTCATTGTTATTTCATGTTAATTTGCGAAAATTTACTAATGTCAACAAGCACTGCCATTGATATTAATAATACATTAATAATACATAATTCGCTGTTCATTATTTATTCTTGTTAGTAAATACATTAACTACATGTCCCATATTGTAAAGTTTTACTAATCACATGACACTGAAAATTCAGCATTACCATCACAGGAATAGAACAATTACATTTTAACATCTATTATAATAGAAAACACTTCTAACTGGATACAGAAGTTTGGCAAACAAACGTTCATGGTGGATGGAATGTTGTCATCTTCAAGTCATCTTTATTTCAGAATGTTGTACAGTACATAATGTGTCAAAGTAGATTTACGGAGATGAACAGACAAGACAGAAAAAGCAATTATCAGTAAGTGTGAAAAGATCAATTCAGTTTATGTTGCAAGATAAGTTTAACCCAAACCCTGGGAGATTCTCCTCTGGATGGATGGATGGATAGATAGAGTTTAACATGATTTAGCAATATTAGCATGATTTTAGCATATTGTTAACAATGTGTTTGTTGTTATACTTAGACTAGCTACGTGTTTTCAACTTTATTTAGCATGTTGCTTACACATTTCATCAAATCAGAAATGTTTTGCATGTTATCATGAGCATGTTAGCATGTTTTGTGTGTTCCCTCATGAAAATGAACCATGATTTTCATTATAGTAAAGTGCAACCATTGTTTTAGGCAAATTGAAGACTATTTGTATAATCACCATTTTACTACAAACACAGTTGAGCTTGATTTAGCATGTTGCTAACATTGTAAACATGTTGTTAGCATTATTTAGCACAATGCCAGCTTGCAGGATTCAGTGTATTGTAGACATAATGATACCATATTGTCATCATTTAGCACATTTCTTGTTATTGTTGTATTGTTGTTCAAAAAATGCTGCTTTGGTGAACAAACCTCCAAAAACATTGAAATCATATCGCAAACCTCAAATATTTGAATGACAGTGTATGAAAATGAAAATAATATTTTCCATCTTGATGCTTTTAAGTGTTCACTCCACTCCATCAAGGAGTCCCGTAGGAGCTCTGGTCTGTGAAGCTCTATAACAGTAAAAACATAATGTACTTATATACATATAGTGATAAAAGTTAAATATATAATGATATAATGAACATAACAAACAAAACTGTTTAACAGTCTTCTACTCACAAATGTCTCACTTTCATCCTTTGGTTTGAGATGCTTAAATTTGTGTTTAGAGTAGTATTCGCTATCACTCAAACAATTAAGCATAAACCAGTCACAGATGACCTTCATCTGAGAAACAGCAAGGACACACAGCTGAATCAGAGGCGTTCATGTAGATAGGTGGTTAAATTAAAATACCTAACCAGTGCTTACCAGGTTAAGAAGGGCAAGAGCGGCACCAACGTTCACAATAGTGGGCACAATATTAAATTTACCAGCCTAAAGAGACAGAAAAATCCAATGAGTGAAGGTTGACAAAAAAAAAAAAATGCTGATTATGAAGTCAAATGAATAGAAAGTAGCAGACTAACCATTCCAAACACTATGACGTCAAAGCGGATTCCAAAGGCCTTTATCAGTGTCCGCGTTTCAGTGTTTTCATTGTTCATGTAATATTTTGCATATCTGTGGGGACGAATAGTGATACGTTTAGAAATAGAGATAGCTTTAGATGCAAAACATGCTACAATGATCATTAAAAAGATAATCAAATGAACTCCTTTACCTGAAATTGTAACCAGGGGCAACATTATTTTCAGGATTTTTGTTGTCGAGTCTCCTGAATGAATACTTGGGAACACAGAAGCGTTCATTGAAGTCCAAGTCACAGCTCCAGTCAATGAAAATACCAATAATGCCACCCTTTTAAAATATTTATATATAAAAAACACATTATGAACTACTCAAATACACACGTAAAACCAACATAGGCTCATTCTGAAAACCTACGCCTCTATACATTTTGCAAATTATGTAGTCAGAAGTCTACAAGGCTGCATTTCTTTTTTTAAAACAAACAATACGGGGCAGTATGACGCCGGTCCTTTTCAGGCTTACCAGCTGACCGCTTCCCTATGGATGGCTTTCTCGATGTTACCAGTTTGTTCAGTAGCGCGCCATGTATGTCGGCGAACTTCAGATGCAGAGCGGAGTTGACCACAATGACGGGGTTTGAGTTGGGTGAAGAACAGTCCAGAAAGCAGGTAAAACAAAAACAGAAGCCAAAAAATAAAATAAACAAGTCCTTAACAGAGTGAGAATGTAGTAAAATCTGAAAAATCTGCTTTTCTTTTTCTGGATTGCTTTTTAAAACTGTCCACTGGGTTTAGGAAAGTGGTTAGGCAGGTTAGTCTGTGCTTTTGAAAACACTGTTGGTTGGGTTTAAGGTAAGTCAGTCTATCAGACTGTCAAGCAATCAATTGACAGCGACCTCTGGTGGATTTACGCGAGAACAGCAAGTGCGAATGGCATTAGTGAGAAAAATTTGAGATCTCAAAAAGTGTACACAGCAGCCCCTGGTGGATTCGCAAAAACTGCAAAAAACGTAGCTCCTAGGACGTATTTGGCGCTCTCTAGAAATATATGTAGAGGTATGTTTTCAGAATGAGCCTGGGTTGCGTAAAACAAACTAAATACAGTTCACAAGTTTGTGTTCAGCCAAATTTAATATTTTTTTAAACAAAGACAATTGTTATTTTGAAATATTATTACAAGTTAAAGCAGTTGTCCTGTTTTCCTGTATTTTAAAATTCAATTCAGCATTATTATTCCACTCTTCAGTGCCACATGATTATTCAGATCATTTAATATGCTGATTTGATTCTTTAGAAGCATTAGTGGTAGTAATTTATGTTTTACAAACCTGTGCTGCATTTACATACTTTATACATATTAGAGTAATTTAAATAACTTGATAATAATTACTAGTAGAGAATGCCTACACCTAAAGTTAAGCCTAATCATGTAAGTACCTAATATTAAACAGTAGATTATATAGTTGAGTGCACATACTGTACAATAAATGATGCAATCGATATTATTATTAAGCATTAATTATTTTCAGGATACTTTATATATTTAAATCATAAAATAAACAGCATTTACATTTTAAATTAATATCTTTATAATGCATCCTTGATAAATAAAAAATTAGCGACCGACCATAAATCTTTGAACAGTAATGCATATAAATAACAGTAGTGCAGCAGATATGTATCATTTTTGTAGATACAAACTTTGAGAGCCATGATACTGAAGTCTTCTCCTGACTCGGTCACAATGTCTCCCAGACGGAAAACTGGGCAGTGCGGGTCTGTTTTATGATTGAATGTGCAGTTCTTCAAGTATGTGGAGTTGATGTGACGCAAAATATTTCGCCTAGAAATGACACAAAACAAGACTTTGATCAAATTAACATAGAAAGAATGTTTCTCTCCTAACTAGTGATCATTTAGAGGCCGGGACACATCAAGCCATCAGCCAGTGTAGGTCCGGTTAAAGGCATTTAGATTAGCAATCATTGAAATGGCTAGATTATGTGTTGAGCTCAATGACTAAAATCGGTTATTTTATAAAAGTTTTACACATCCATGAGGTAGTTTTTCTGCCAATTTGAAAAATTTACATTTTACAAAATCAATTTTTTTATACATA